TCAGGATACGTGGGAAGACGTTTGGTCAGCCCGCAAGAGCCTAAGGCCGTCCTGGCTGTGTTTCACGTCCAGGCTCATAAGGCACTGACACACCCTGGCAATCAGGAGCCTAATGCCCCAGCTCAGGTATGAGCCCCCAAGACTGGCCCTTCAGGAGATACAGCAGATTGCGTGCACAGGAAGAGTGGCCACTGTGGTGCCTGGATGGGATGACATATTGCCAAGAATGCTGGATTGCCCTTGAAACACAGTGAGTTAGTTGGCTAATGCAGTAACAACATGTCCTTTTTGTTCTGAACAGCACCCGAGAGCAACTGCCAAAGGAGCCCGGGCCCATCCACCACAGTTCCCAGCTGGGGCGGGATGGACCAAGTGATTCTATTGGCCCCCTCTCTCTGAGTGAGGGTTCTACATATGCCTTGGTTTGTGTGGACACCCCCATCTGGCCTAACCCAAACGTTCTCTTGTCACCATGGACACCAGACTGCCGCCATTAGGGGAGCAGAAAAGCTGAGCACCGGGTACCGCGATGCCCACGTGAAACAGGTCTGGGGTCACATTTCAAAGGTTATAATATACAAGACTGAGCAAGAGAACATGATATTGGATGAAGGTTCCATCTCCCCCTGTAACTTGCCAGCAGCAGAATTGGTAAAAGAGGATAATGGAAAATTGAAAATCAGCAGATTAAATTACTGACAGGTAAAAGCTTGGCTAGGAGGACTAAAGTACTGTCCCCGGCTTGGATACATTTGAATGGCCAACCGGTAGAGCCTGTTGCCCCATGTACCGGGCTGGGGGCCACTCCTGAGGCACCCTCTACTGTGAAGGTGTGTAAATCCTGGGAAACAGCCATTGCCCCCACTCTCACCGCGGATCAGCATGCTAAGTTGCTAAGAACTCCAAGCCCCGTTATGCCAGGAAAACGGGTCATGCGTAGGGACTCTGCAATGGGACATCCGCCTGCATGGGTGAATGACTTCACCGTCCCTCAGTGGTGAGGAGGAACTGCTCAGTCTCCACTAGCATCCCTAGTCCTGCTGCAGGCCGGCCCTATTAAAAATATGCTAGGCCTGGAATGAAACATGCACAACTGGAGGAGAGGGGAAGGTGGGGTGTGCTCTGGCGTATCCTGCCCCCCAGTCCACCTCCTCACGCCTGGCCATGCTGCCTCCTCCAGCCAACATGTACGGTACGTACGACCAGGTTAAGTTCCTAAAGCAGCCCACCTCCCTCCCTTCGAGGTCTGTTAGGCACATTGTGTTCTCCACCGGTGTGACTTGACCGTCTGGACTGCCTTTGTTCCCTCCATTGTCCCGGAGGACCCTGTAAGCACCCACAGAAGCCCTTACTAAATTCGCTCAGCAAGCCTCACATGACAGGAGCCCACAACTATCAGGAACTGCTGGAGGTGGATTCACAGTTCAAGGGAGACGAACAAGCGGGGACGAAGGAAAGCAGGTCTAAGACTGTGCGGTACACATATGTCCACAGCTCTGGCTATTGATCCCTTGCAGTGTGGCTAGTCAGAATTGAGATCGGCTCTAAGTGTAAGTTGCACGCCAGGTGTTCAAGACCTAGTAGGAAAACATGGAGAATATCTCGTTAAAAATTTTTACAGTGATTACATGGTGACAGAATATTTTGGGTAACATGGAATTAAATAAATTATTAAAGTTAATGCCGTGTGTCTGCATTTTTAAATCTGGCTACTAGAAAATGGTAAATTACATGTGCGGCTAGCATCATGTTTCTACTGGCCAGAGCTCCGTGTTACTGCAGCTCGAGATGCTTTTTAGACAAGTGGAGACGCCAGTGAAGTAGCCGGATGTATACATGACTGGAGTAAAAGGGAACGGGTGGCAGTGGATACACGGTATTTTGACTCATCGGTTTAAAACAATACGGGTTTCCCCGTATGTTGGAATGCAGAGCATTCCTGTGAAACCTTTCATAAGCTGAGATGGCGTAAGTGGAGAAGTAATTGCCATTCATTTCAAAGCAGAAATCCTCTTCAGATGTCTTTCAGTTAGCGAAAAACAGGTACTGATGTAGGTGTTTCGTAAAAGCCAAGTGAAAAAATAAAAAAGCAAAGTGGCAAAACACAAACTTTCGAAAAGCAGGGAATATCTGTATTTTTAAACCGTGAGACGAGATGGGACCTCCTAGGAGATAAAGGTGTGGAAGAAAAGCCAAGCAGCCCTGGCTGGTGTAGCTCAGTGAAGTGAGTACAGGCTGTGAACCAAAGGGGCTCTGGTTCGATTCCCAATCAGGACACATGCCTGGGTTGCTGGCCAAGTCCCCAGTGGGGGGCGTGCAAGAGGCAACCGCACATTGATGTTTCTGTCCCTCTCTTTCTCTTTCCCTTCCCCGCTCTCTAAAAACAAATAAACCAATTAAAAAACACACACACAAAGACATAAAACAAAAAAACCAATTAAAAAACACACACACAAAGACATAAAACAAAAAAACACAACACTTAGAGGTGTGAAAAAATGAGAACGGTCTATGAGAGCATGGGGTGAGCAGAAAGAGAGCAGTCTTTAAACACGTAGGAAGAAGAAGGATCAAGGGAAGAGGAGGGAATGCTGTGTCAAAGGCTGCCAAAAGGTCAGGTAAGATGAAATCTGAGAAGTGTATACTGGATTCCACCGCACGGAGGGCTGTCTTGTGAAGGCATTTGGTAGTTTCCTGAGGAGGGAGTATCGAAAGGAACAAAGGTCAAGAGAAGGAAACAGAGCCTGTAGACTTTAGTTTGGCGGGCTTGCCTTAAGAGGCGTTGGATTAAAGTCCACCCAAACCGATTAAGTACCCAGGAGACAAACAAAAACATTAGCATGCGGTAAGTAGAGTGGGGCATCTCTGATTCAGCCCACTGAGTATTGCTTGGCTCACTGCAGGAAGTAACCCAAGCTAGGACCTAAACCATTGCTCTCCCCAATGCCTGCGATATGACAGGGTTGTGTGGTGTGGTCAGAGCCACCTCCTCCAGGGACATGGTATGGCTTTCTACACACATATCCCTAGGTGTGCCTGACTGTCTGGGGCTGGGCTCTGAGCTAATTTTACAGACAGGCCAGTGGCTCACATTTGCAGTGTGTCTGAGGCAGAGGTATAAACGCAGGCCCTTGGCCCATGTCCTGATCTCCTCCCAGTGCCAGCTACATCCTCCCCCCAAAAGTGCCTCACACGTAACCCTGAGAACACCTCAGCCTACACCTCCGAGCTGTGTCTACCCTTTTGCTTCTACAAACGGTGGCCACTTGGCCACCATTTGGGCCAAAGACTATACATACCGTAGGCCCAGACTACCCTTGTCTAGGAAGGAGAAGAGGGCCTTACAGGACCTGGAGGCAGCCTTGGGGAATGAGGGGAGCAGAAACGTTTTCCACACAAGTTGTAGGGTGTTGAGACCTGGTGGGCCCATCCCATTGTTCCTGTGGATACCTTAGCTCTGTGGCCTGCATACAGCATAACGAGGACCTGAGCGGGAACCCCTAAAATAGGGGGCCCAGGAATAGGGCCCTTCTTGGCCGGGCCAATGCCACTCCTGGCCACAAACCACAAAAACAAAGGGAGGAGAAGTGGAGAAATATGAGAAAGTAGCGAGAGGGAGTCCCTTTTGCTGATGCGGCATTCATATACATTACAGCATTCCTTTCATGCGGTCTCCTACCATGTTTCCACAGCTGAAGTTCATGAAAATTAGGTGAGTTGAGTCTCCTTACACAATTAGCAATGTGGTCATGGTAGAAAACGCTGCCCTGGCTGGTACAGCTCAGTGGATTGAGCATGGGCTGCGAACCAAAGGGTCGCCGGTTCGATTCCCAGTCAGGGCACATGCTTGGGTTGCGGGCCAGGTCCCCAGTAAGGGGCGCAGGAGAGGCAAGCACACGTTGATGTTTCTCTCCCTCTCTTTCTCCCTCCCTTTCCCCTAAAAAGGAAGAATGTGCAAAACATGAAGATAAGACCATATCACTAGTTATTCCAAACACTGCATACATACCTGGCTCATAGCATGCTGTCTGTCCATCCTGTGCTCTCCAAATATGTCTCCACACACATGCACACGCACAGTCTCCCTCGAATACCTGCCCACAGTTCGCCACGTTTATTTTCAAAAATAAGGTTATCCACTAACACATGTTTTCACTAGACATCTGACCATTTCCCCATCAATGATTAACCTTGAATTGCCCTCCCAGGCCTTCCCCTCACCCACACGGAACTCAGGAGCACCTGTTTCTGACACATAAACGTTTTCCTCCAGAAACCGAAAACTTCTCCCTTGGGATCCTGACTCGTGCTGGTCTCCCCTTCCTGATTCCTAGGCTTCCTTCCAGCACCCCCTTACTCCCATCAGGAGGGAAAGCATCCACCCCCCACCCGCAACACACACACAAGGTCATGTCCTGCCTGGGTAGCTCCACCAACCCTGCTTTTCCTCCATCGCTGTGGGTCAAAGCCCACCCACTTTTTTTGGCCCAAGTGGCAAGCCACCTACATTTAGAGGGTATGGAGCACACAAATGGGAATTTTCTGAACAGAACTCCATTTTAGGCAGTGGGAATAAGTAATTGCCAGGAGAGTATTTCCTCTCATGTCCAGAGTCAGCTACCATGCTCACAACTTTCTTTAATCCTGTAAATAAGACGTAGGATCAACAGTTTGGGGACAGTAAAAAGTGCAAGCTACATTTCTAAATGAAATACCCATTTTTCTTTTATTCATTCGAAGATTACGTTTCATAAAGGCAAGTTGGAAAAAGCAAACTCTCAGCTCAGGGGCACAGGCAGACAGACCCTCCTGAGGTTGAAGAGGGCCTGGAATCAAGGGCCAGCTACAGGAGAGTGCTACATAGCGCAGCCATGGAGGGGACAGGCTTCAAAACAGCCTCTCCATACGAGGCTTCAGAACTACTCGTTTTCGTCAATGGTTAGAACACTTGGAAACCTTCTAGGTAACTGCAAGAACAGGCAGCCCACTGAGGTCCCAGCTCAGGGCGTGCAGGGGAGTAAGGGGGTGCTCTCTACTTCAGCCTGCTCTCCTGAAGAGACAGGGCTCAGGTCATCAAACTCCAGCAGCAGGGCTTGTGTAAGGGTAGCAGGGCTAGGAGTGGCCATGGAGGCCGAGCCACGAAAATTAGGGGGCAGAGGAAGAGGACCTGTGAACTGGAAAGCTAAAGGGGGGAGAGGAGGGGCCCTGGCCAGGAAAGCCAAGGGGAGGCAAAGGAGAACCAAGAGCAGGAGGAGGAGAAGGAGGAGGAGGAGGGATTGTCACCAAGCAGCCCAGGGGAAGAATAGAGCCGACCAGGAGGTGAGGGTGAGAAGGCACAAATAAGCAGTGCATACCGAGACTGCTGAAAGGAAGGCTTGGAGCCTCAGGACCAGGAGAGCTTAAGCTTCTCTGGAAGACAAGCCTTCCTAAAGCGAGCCTATTGGAAGGAGGCCTCTGGCCAGCAGGCACGGGGAGAGAGGGGCAGCTGCTGGGAGTAGACCTTCGCCTAGTCAGACTGCTCCAGAGGACAAAGCCTGGAGTCGTGCTGCTGCGAGGGGGGTGCAGGGCTTATGGGGCTGGAGCAGCTGTGCAGCTCAGGGATGGCCGGGATGCGCGGCTTCGGGAGGGCAGGGCCTGGTCCAGATGCGCAGCTCGGGGAAGGAAGTCCTCATGCAGAAGCAGAGCATCTGACCGCTGCCTGGACTGGAAGAGCGGCAGTGGCCGCTGTGGGGGTGGCCCCGGCGGTCAGCAGGGCCTGCCGCCTGTGTGCCTGGGCGGTGGCCAAAGCAGAATATGGCTCAGACGCACTCTGGCTACTGTTGGCTTTTTATATAATAAAATGCAGACTTTTTCAAAAAGCATAGTCATTAAAATGGTAAAAAGTCGTGGGGAAACAGCTAACCAGTGGGGTCGAAATTGTTCAACGATCACTGTGCCTGCTGCAATGTCCACGCCTTCACCTGTTTAAACATGAATCAGTACAAGTCGTGAGATAGATCCCATTCCTATGCCTGAATATCTCTTTGTGTTTGTACATGCATAAGCTCAAATGTCCATAAAATGCGCACTGAACTTTATAAACCGACACATGCAAAGTAAACATCGGATACATTTTTCTCACACACGTGTTCTCATACAAGTGGCATGACCCCTCCCCCTTAAATCCCCCACCCTCTTCCTCCATTTGTCCCTCACCCCCACACCTTACTCCAAGGCCTTATGACCCCTCTTCTCTAGCCATCCATTCGGATGTCACCAGCACTAGTCTGGAACAACTAGTCAGTGCTCGCGAGGCCAGATCTGGGGCGTGTTTCTTGCCAGCCAGTCTCAGCCTATCAGTACCCACTGTCCTGGTCGGACTGGACCTCGGCAAAAACCTTCAGGGAACTGAGATGATCCAGGTTTATGACCTATGAGATGAGGAAATGACAGAGCACAACTGCGGCCACACAGAGATGAGAGACAGGTGGGGAGAGACAGACAGAGACACAGACAGACAGACAGACAGACAGACAGACAGAGAGACAGAGAGCTAGGCATGGCAAACTGTTTCAACAGGGTTGAGGGTGGGGCCGAGGATTTCACTGGCTCACTCTTCACTGGTGAATTTAAGTGTAAGGGCGTGAATTTAAAGAGCGAGAGGAGAGTAAACATTAACTAGCCCAAGGGATCAGTTATTGAAATCAACCACAATCTCTGAAACATAGCAGATTTCAGTGGAGGGCCACGCCTGCCTCCTTACCTAGCCCTGTGGCTGGCCCTGTGTTTACTGGAGACAGCCATGCTGGAAATGGGTGCCTCTCGGACACGGGCAGTGAAAGCTCAAGTCAGGCCCTTGTGTTACAGAGCAGCCAAACAGTGTCCTGGCCTACACTCCCGTCTCCCTGAGGGCTTGAAGGAGCTGATGTGTATTTGACAATTACTCTGCTATTCGAGTTGACATTCTTTTTTCTTTTTTTAAATTTTTAATTGTTGTTCAAATACAGTTTGTCAAGTGTACAAAATGTCAAGTATAAAATGTCAACAAATGAGTAGACATTCTTGATCCTGTCAATGTAATCCTGCATGACATCTGTTCCCTTCACAAGCAGGGGACTTTAGGAACAGAGACAAAGTCCATTTATTTCACCACAGCTGGGAGGATCCGTGGTCAGGGTCAGGAGAGCCTCCTCTCAGAGGAAGTGATCATCGAGTAGACACTATGCTCCCCGTTTTACAGCATAGGAGATTGAGGGTCAGAGAGGTTGTGTAACTTGCTCGAGGTCAGACAGGGAGACAGAGATGGGGCCAGTTTTCAGGCCCAGGTTTGTGTGGCCCCAGTGCACATGCACTGTGCATTACTCACAGCTCACTCTCATGACAGTATCACCTGTTTTTTATTCACGCTTTCTGGGGCACTGCTTCCTGTAATTTTCTCTACAAAATTCTAATACATGAAGTGTTAGGATAAGCTACGTACTTTGTGAGGCCCGGTGGAAAAAAAGAAATGATGAGTGCAACAGCGTTTTCCTCCATTTCCCTTTCAAACAAACATCCAGCTGCTTTACCGGTTACCTTATTTTAATCCCTCAGGTGTAACACAGAACCAACACAGTTCATTTAGCTTAGCACATGCCATCCGCTTTCATCCTTACCATGATCTAGGAAACATACACTCTTATTGCGCCCAATTGACAAATGAGGAAACCCAGGACGCCGGACGCACTAGCCCGTCCCAGGAACATACAGTGAGTCAGTAGGAAAACCAGAATTCTGACTGCAGAGCCAAGCCCTAGAGGCAACAAGATCTCAAGTCACAAAGTCGCTCTGAGCCTCAATTTCCACACCTGTGAACTGGGCATAAATATAGGCTCTCTGAACTGAGGTTGTGAGATCTGCGGCGGTTAGAAAGATCTACTTCTTGTTCTACTATTTGGACGTCTGTGGGATTACTCAAAGATAAGTAAGTACTAAATTTTAAAATCAGTGTCCCGAGAAATATTAACTTGAGTTCCCACATTTTTTAATGAAGTGCCCAATAGGTGTTTGGTCTCTTTCCTGAGTTTCATTTTTTTCCTCCACTTCAGTCTATTGGTGCATTTGGTGAATCCCTTTGTGTTCTTTTGCGAGCTACTGAGGGTTTGACTATAGACACTCTCTATCATCAGACAGTGGGGAAATGCCCAGGTGGGGGTAGCACAATGTCAAGGAGTGCTAGGTGATGGAGATTCTGGGGAGGTGGGGGCAGTGGTGGCCGCACAGTTTTTATATCTGAACAAACACTCACACAGAAAGCAAACCATTAAATAGCAAACAACAAAACTAAGTAAATATAGAGCATTTACAACAAATTGGGATTACAACTCATCCCCCCAAATCCCTAAATTAAGTGGACAGGGACAAACCACAAGCCCTTTTCCCTCATTCAAAAACCATAACACATTAAGAGAATAAAGCCAAGATTTTAATTTTATTCACCAAAGATTCGTTGTATAAGAGGCAACCTGGAAAAAGGGGAATCTCAACTCAGGGGCAAAGCCAGGCCTTTTGGAGGGAGAAGAGGGCCTGGAATCAAGGGCCAACAGCAGGTAAGTGCTAGGTGGTGGAGTTTCAGGCAGGAGGAGGCCTCAAAACTCATAAGCTTGGTCGCTGGCTAACAGAGCTCCACCAAACCTCACAGGTAACCTCAGAGCAGGCAGCCCATTCAGCGCAGTGGGTGGAGGCTGACTCCTCCTGGGTCTTATGAGGCTGCTCACGGAGGGTCACAGCTCACCTGGGGGAGGTGTAGGGGAGTCAGGGATGCTCTGTATTTCAGCCTGCTCTCCTGGAGAGGCAGGGCTCAGAGCATCAAACTCCAGGAGCAAGGCTCTTCTGAGGCTAGCAGGGCTAGGAGCAGAGATGGAGGCCAGGTCATCAAAATTAGGGGAAGAGGAGGAGGAGCTGTGGTCAGAAACATTAGTGGGGGGGAGATGAGGGGGCCCTGGTCAGGAAACCCATTGGTGGAGGGGCAGGGGGGTTGGGGGGGAGGGGCAAGAAGAAGAGGAGGAGGGATTCTCAACAAACCGGCGAGAGAAGGATAGAATCGACCAGGAGGTGAGGGTGAGGAGGCACGCATGCGGACTGCGCGCCAGCGCGGCTGGGAAGGAAGGATTGGGGCCCCGAGAGCAGGAGAGCTTGAGCTGCTCTGAAAGACAAGGCTTCCTGGTGCGAGCCCAGAGGAAGGAGACCTCTGGCCAGCAGGCTCAGGGAGAGAGGGGCGGCTGCCAGGGGTAGACCTTCTCTGGGTGGGGCGGCTCCGGGAGACAAAGCCTGCAGTCGTGCTGCTGCTACGGAGGGCAGGGGCTTATTGGGATTATTGGGCTTATTGGGCTGGAGTGGATGCGGAGGGCAGGGCTTGGCCCGGATGCGGGGCTTCGGAGGGCAGGGCCTGGTCCAGATGCGCGACTACGGGAAGCTGGGCTAGGCGCAGAAGCAGGCCGTCCGAGACCACCGCCAGGCCTGGGAGCGCGGCGGCTGTGGCCAGAGGAACCTGGAGTGGATGCGCAGCGCTGGCGAGCAGGACCCACAGGGATCGCACAGCGGCGGCGAGCAGGGCCCGCAGGGGTCGCACAGCGGCGGCGAGCAGGACCTGGTGCGGATCCAGGGCTGTGAAGAGCGGTACCCAACCTGGAGGTGTGGTTCGGGACAGCACAACGTGGCGGCGCGGATGCATGGCGAGAGCTGGGTGCGGGGCCTCGCGCAGATGCAGCTGTAGATGCAGACGCACTCCGCGGGCGGCATGCAGGGCCTGGCTCAGATGCCCTCCGGTGGACATCAGGGCCTTGCCGGGGGTGCACAGAAGCAGCAGGCAGCAGGGCGGCGCAGGGTGGCGCGGCTTCGCAGGACAGGGCCTGGTGGCGGGGTGGTACGGCTCTGGAGGTCCGGGATGCGCTGGGACGCGGGACTCCCCGGAGAAGCCCTAAGTGCATGGCGGCTGCTGGGCTCTGCCCTTGGAGAGGATGGCGGCAAAGGCACGGAGCTCCTTGGCGCAGGTGCCTCTGGAAACAGACAGCGCCGTGGAAGCTTGTGAGTCTGGGCAGCCTTCTTGCGGCTGCGCCGCTTCTGCCCACGGCCGTTCGCGGGGGCCCGTGATGTGGGTCGGACGCCCGCTGGCCTGGACACCACCCCTCACGGCTTGCCCTGAGGCGGCCGCGCTACCCTCGTGTGCGGTCTGGAGCCCTTGGGCCGTCTCGGGCCCCACACAGCTCAACTCTGTGTGGGAACTCGGATCACCCTGGGAGCTCAGGCCCCCCACTTTCCCACACGCAGCGCATGGAGGGCGGCCCCGGGTCCTCCCCAGTGGTGGAAATGGTGCCGGCGTCCGCCGTGACGCAGGAGGAGGCACCTGCTGCGTCACAGCACAGAGCGCCCCCACCCGATGGAGACCGGACGCTCCAGACCGTGGACGCTCCAGACCGTGGGCACCGAGGGGCCGGCATCGCCGTGGCCGGTCCCGAGGGCGTCGCCAGGGGCAGCGATGACTTCGTTCTTTGGCCCTGTGGGCCCCTCACCCTGCTGTTGCTTCTGCTCCTTCTCCAAGTGAGACTGGGTGGCCATGCCTCCAAGTTCTGCCTCAGAGAGCGGAGGAGCGAGGACGCGGACGCTGCTTGCCCTGGAGTCTGAGGTGGAGGAGTAAGGGGACTGGGCGTGCCCCGTGGAGTCCCCGCCTCGGATTGGTCAGCTGTTGTCACGCGACTCTCAGCTTCTCTGCTCGCGCCGCAGCCCAGCTGTGACCAGCTCGGAACCCAAGGGTGCACTCCACGCCCCCTGGAGTCCGCTCCCGTGTTCTGTGCAGCACATTTCCCATCCTTCCCTGGCCCCCCTAGTGGGTGTGTTTGTAGGGGAGAGGGCAGAGGCTGGGAGGCTATCCATATCAACAATTCGAGTCGCTCCAAATCGGCTTTGCTTGTCAGCACCACGGTTGTGGTGACTCAACCGCAAGCAGCAGCTTGAAAGAAATACCACACCAGATGACAGGAGATACCCCCAAGCCAGGCGTCCCTCCTGGAATCTGGTCAGGACACTGGACGCCTGCGTGGTGACCCAGAGGGGACGTGCCCAGAACTCCTCTGGGCTTCTGAACAACCCAACACGGGGGTCTGTTTGGAGAGCAGCCTAGAAAGGCGAGAAAAAGGGTGGGGCCCACAGCCTTGGCTGCAGAGGTTCAGCACTGCTGCCAGTCACGGGCTTGGGGCGGGGGTGTGGACAGTGGGGTGGTTGAGTTTTACAGTAAGATGCACCCCCTGCCTAATGTCTCCAACTGCCTGGGATTCCGGGTGATGCTGTCCTTAAACATCCATCAGCATTTGCACGGGTTGCGTAGTGATCCGCTGATGAATGTATTGTATTGTACATCCACTTATTTGGCCTACTCCCTTATTTCTGTTAATATAAACATGATGTGATGCACAGGCTTGACCTTCAATATATGGAGACTGATTTTTAATCATTAGTATGAAAGGGCTGCCTGTTCAGTACCCCCAAACAGAACAGCAAATGTAAGAGAGCTGGCACCTAAATTCTCACTCACCCATATAAGCAAGGACTGGGAGCCTTTAGCCTACATGTTGGTAGAAAAACCATTCACACATATCTCATAGTTTATTTTATTTTATGACATGGAATCACTTATCCATAAGTATTGTCTGGTAATCTGCTTTGGGGAGTCCAGAAAACACTCTTCCCATGTCAGTAAATAAATTTCCACAGGGCCATTTTTTAAGTACAAAATACTTCATTTACAGAAGAAGCTTACAATTTCAAACATTCAAATTTTCACTCTCTGTGACACATGAACTGCGAGGCACACCCTTCTCACTAAACATTGTTCATGTCCTCCATCATGTCCTTGTTATGGACAAATTCCCAGGAGAGAAAAATTCTTGACACAGGCCACGCACGCTTGTCACTCTTTGATTAGGACGTTAGCTAGAGGTTCTCCTGAAAGCCACCGTCTGAGCAATTGTGGCTGAATGGAGTGGGATGCTTACTGGACCGGATGAGCATGTGGACATGAAACAGAATGCAAGACAGACTGGAATGGTATTGGGAGTGTTAAATAATAAGGAATAGAAAGCGGACTTGAAATGGAATGCAGAAAGGGATGAAATGGAGACCCTCTGCAGCGGACACTGGAATGAAACAGGAAATGGAATATGGACTTGAACAGGATGTGGAAAGGAAAATTGAGCCGGGTGGAAATTGAATGGAAAAATGGGATGGGAAGGGGCAGTGCAAGTAAGTCTCTAATGGCATGTGGAGTAAAAATATATGTGATGAGGTGTGAGAAAAGGAATGGGATGGAATATGCAGTGAAGTAGAATATTAAAGAAGATAGGAGAAAATCAAAATTAAGTGGGAAGGAATCATAGAAAGGAGCAGAACATGCAATGTCATGAAATCAAAGGACTGTGAAATCTGCACTACAGATAAAAAAGTACTGCAATGGAGTAGAAATGAGTGGAATGAAGTATAGAATACAAGGCTAGGAGGGTGGAGTAGGCAATGAATAAAGGCAAAATGGAACGGAACACGGAAAACAAAGTCCTGATGACGTACCAGATGTACTCGGATGAAGAATGGATGAAGACGAGATAGAATGTGCTCCAGCCATCTGCCACTCGGTAACATAGCGTCACGGAACAATGACCATTTGATCATGCTCAGGCACTCTGTAGAGCTGGAATTCAGACAGGGCAGAGTGGGGATGGCTTGTGTCTGCTCCCCGATGTCCTCTGTCTGAGGCCTCAGCTGGGAACCCTTCATTGGCCGTGAGGTCATGAGTGAAGGAAGGCAATCAGTGATGACTCTTAGACTTTGGCCACAGTATCTGGGTGGACGTTAGTGCCACTTCCTGGAATTGGCAAGACTTGCAGACTGGAGACACACCGGAGATCGGTGATCCTCGTGGGAAACAAAAACTCCGGAGGAGCACGTTTTGTTTGCCTCATCCCTTTCTATTCTGAATGTTTTCAGCGAGCATAGATTACTCTTACATTCAGAAAAATACAGCTATTTACATGTTAGAAAGCAACCAATTTTTAATGTTTACTTATACTTTAAGCTGTTGTAAGAGACGAAACTCTCTCCTATGCTACCAGAAGGGGTTATACACTCACAGCACCTTGCCAGATGGAAACTTGACAAGACACATAAAAGTCATAAACACAAAATCCATTTGATGCTACAATTCCTCTTCTAGGCACTGAATCTCGAGAAAAGATATATACGGACATATCTTCCCACAGTGTTATATGATCAAACGTGATTACTTTAGTGTCACTTATTTTTTAAAACCTGAAACCACCTAAACTTCCAGCAAGACAGTGGATATTCATAAAATACACTTACACAGTTCTTGTAGGATGTTTTCGAATAACTTTACTGCTGTTGGAAAGTGGCTGTTTTATGCAAATGAAAATCACATACTGGTGTGTATTTACCTCTGTCCGTCCATTTTCCTATACACCTAGCATTCTTTGTATATTAAAGTCTCATACACTGTACAGCTATGGTGCTCACCAAGGGACATTCTGTACTCCAAGGGACACTTGGCAATGTTTTAAGACATTTTTGTTTATCACAGCCGGGGGAAGGGGAAGGTGCTGCTGGCATCAGGTGGATCAGAGCTAGGAATGTTGCTTAACCTCCTTGAACGCGCAAGGCAGCCTCTTACAACAGAAGGTTATCTGATCCAATGTGTCAGTACTGTCCAGACTGGCAGACCCTGCAGTAGAGCATTGAAATAATTTGGAAAAATGTAAAACAAAGTTTAAATCACAGGCGATCCTGCTAGTGATCAATAGCTATTGTTAAAAGTTTGGTATGTGTGTGTTTTAAACTCTCTACGATAATGTTGTGTAATCACCAGAAGCCTATGTGTGAGTTTTTCAAATATGGAACTTACTAGTCTTTGCTTAAGAAATGCTATACCTTGAGAATTGTGAATGCAGCTCATTGTGAGGGGAGGGATATTCCACCAGTATCAACCCATCATCGTCTATCTCCTGACTCCCACCTTTCTGACCAAAGGTTTCCTTTCCAAGTAGTCACATAGTTGGTGAAAATAAAGGAAACCTGTGGCCCATGACACGATGGGTCTGATTATACAGGGCAGTGTGGTTGACTTGCCGGATCATAGTGATCTCATTACCCTGCCTGTGACTGGTTTAGGACTGGGCATGCCCCCAGTTGCAGTCGATGACATCTGGATGAGTGTCTGCTTGGAGTCTTCGGGCAGAGTTCTCTTGGCTCCTGAAGAGATGAAAGAGACACAGCAGATTATTTACATTAAAAATCTAAAAACATGTATCTAATCCAATGTTATAATTACTAAAGGAATATAGCATGATTAGTGGATATATGGTCATTATGACAAAATTCAATTGAATTTCTATATACCAGCATTAAAATTATAAAGAGAAAAAACATGTAGACACCGTTTCTTATGGTATCAGAAAACATCAAACACCCAGGAACGAATCTAACAGGACAGAGATCTGACAAAGACCTCTGCACACAGTAACATAACATTGCTGACAGAAACTAAAGAAGACTCACATAAATCAGAGACATAGCATGCTTGTGTAGTAGAAGAAAATGGTACCCAAGTGAATTGAAGAGAGAATTCTTGTGAAAATTTTCTGTGGATCCCATGCAAACCTACTCAAATTCCCAGCAGTTTGTTGTTGTTGTTGTTGTTGTTGTTGTTGTTGACGACACTGGAAACTGGCGAGCTGCTTCTAAATTACATATGGATGGCGAAGATCCAAGAAAAGACAAATCCATGTAAAACAGGACTTTTACAGCCAGCTACCAAGGCTAACTGTGATGCTATAATAATTAAGGTAGTGCACAAGAACAGACAAACAGACCGACAGAGCAAAGAGAAGGGACCAGGAACTGACTCGCATAAGCGCAATCACCTCAATTACAACAATTGTGCCACTGGCACACTCTGGGGAAGGACGGTGTTTGAAATAAGTGGAGCAGGCCCAACTGGATTACCTTCTTAGCTCCTAACTTGTGCTGTACACAAAAAATTAACCCCAGAAGTTAAAGGTTATGGAGAATAACGAACGAGCGTATCTTTATGACCTTGGGGTCAGCAAAGATGTTAGAGACGGGGTACAAAAAGCCCCAGTGATAGATGAAAACATCGGTCCTTTGTTAGGACTTTATCAAAACAAGGACTTCCACTCCCCAAAAGACACATTTGGAGAGTGAGGAGAGAAACCTCAGGATGGGAGAACGATGTCTGCAACGTGTATGTCCCACAAATGTCTCATGTCCAGAATATAATATCTCCTACAATCCAAAAGGAAAACAGTAATGCAGTGAAACATTGGCAAACTATTTGAACAGGACCTTCAACATATAGGGCATCCAACTACCTGACCAACGGACAAGTAAGAAGCTGCTCAACCTCACTCACCAGGGACATGCATGTTAAAATCCCAGTGAGATATCACCAGACATGTACCAGAATAGCCAAGGCAACTAACAAAATCCAGGCTTGGCAAGGATAAGGAAGAACTCTCTAAAGCTTCTGGGAGTGTAAATTGATGGCAGCACCTTGGAAAACCCTTTGGCATTATCTGTTACAGCTGAATATGTGTATTCTCTGTAACCCAGCAATGCCATCTGTATTGCCTGTCCCTGCCTAACAAACTACCATATAACTTTGAGACTTAAGAACTATGTCTACTTATTAGCTCACAGTTCTGTAGGTCAGAAGTCTATGCGTGGCACAGCTTTCTTTGTTGTCTGCTCAGTGTCTCACTGAGTGGTGTTT